CTCTGGAGAAAACAGTGGACTCTGTAATTATACCCTGCTGAGGTCACCACAGAAAATTGACACTGTTTGCCCAAAGCCAGAGCACTCCCCCAGAGCCTCTTTCTAGATCTCGTTGTATTGCTTTCACAATGGGCTTTATTGCTAGTCAATAAATATTACAAAACAGTGCATGTTTCCAGAGTCTCACTAGTCATTCCCACTGTTTGGGGATGGGGAAAAATCAGTAAGAGGGTTCTAAAGAAGAAAGTAAGCTATAATTGCTTGCACTGGGTTGAAATTGGGTAAAAAATAAAAGAAAAACAAATATATTCTCTGTTGACTATGTTTTACATAATAGATACAGTAGGGTTTCCTTGTATAAAATTACCATTTATGTGGACTGTTACCAGTTTCCATTGTGGTGTAACCCTCTTTGAGTCTCAGTAAGAAAGGCAGACTATAAATTCAGTAAATAAACAAATAAATAAATATCCATGTCTTGTTTTACATGTTGTAATTAAACTTACATTGGCCTTTTGTATTCATCAAGCAATCAAAAAATAAAATGAAGGCAAAAACGGTAGACATGGCAGGAAACAACAGAAGAGTCTAGAAAGAAGGCGGAACAGGTGTGTGTGTGTGTGTGAGCGTGTGTGTGTGTGTGTGCGTCTGGGGGGAAGAGGCTAGGGAGCACCTACTGATTGCTTCTGTTGCTGCTTGGTATCTGCTGGCTCTCCTGGCTATTGCAGATGTGTTTGGGACCTCTCCCACTTTGACAAACAAATGCACATTCCCTGTGCAATAACCTAAAAGCTGAAAAAAATGCCGCACTGCACAGTTCCTGGTGGGGGTTAATCAGAATTTCCTTTAACGCCATACCTGAAAACAGAAATGTAGTGATGGCCAGAAGGAGAGATTTCCTGGCTTTAAAGCATCCCTGTCTTTCTTTGCAAAGCTAAATTCTGGGGATGACTGGAAGTTATCACTGTGACAGCTATTATTCTTTTCATTATCCTGGGAAGTACAAATGTGAACTAGTTCTGTTGTATGAAATAAATCTGGCTTTAACAGCTTCAATTTGTGTGGATGAGAAACAGGAACATGCTTTCTCATCTCTCATACTCCTCAGGAAGGAGATGAAGAAGGTACATAAAAACAAAACAAAAAAAACTTCCTGTTTAGTTTTGCCTATCTGGAAGTCAAAGGGAAAAGGTGCTGAGATGTAGCTGAGATAAAGCATACGGTTGCAGAGTCTGTGATAATGCGTTTAGATCAGGTGAAAAGAAGGATATGGGGGGAAGACAGGATCTGTTCCAATTCATGCATCAGGCAAAAAATGTGATGCGCCCTTTAGCCACCTACTATCCCATGGCAGCTGAATCTGTAAGGACATGGCAGGCATATGCTGGGAGCCAGTGTGGTATAATGGTTAAAGTGTCAAACTAGGTTCTGGGCAATGCTCCCTCTAAACTGTGGAGTCTTGTGAGCAAAAATTCTACTTTGTGAGCTACTGGCATTAAAGTTGTGAGCGAGCGATTTGGCTACTGCATAAATTAGTTTGTTCTGGAGCCATCTTTTCTGAGCTATGACAAAAATGTGTGAGCCAGAGGCTAAAAAACTGTGAGCTAGCTCACACTAACTCAGCCTAGAGGGAACACTGGTTCTGGGAGACCCAGGTTAAAATTCCTACTCTTCCATGGAAGCTTGCTGAGTGACTTTAGGCCAATCACACACACATAGCCTAACCTACCTCATAGGGTTGTTGTGAGAAAACGGAGGAGAGGATAATGATGTAAGCTGCTTTGGGTTCCTAACAGGGAGAAAGGAGGGGTGTACATGAAGAAAATAAGCTGTAAACTAACCCTATATCTCAGTGTACATCCCTACATGTTTTCAACTTTGAACATGACATTGTTTACCAAGGAACTCACAAGTATGCTGCATAAAATGCAAAACCACACACGGAGTGGGTCTTCATCAACTCTTGAAAACAGATGGGGGGGCATGAAGGGAGAAATCACGTGGTAGCATTGCAATAATTTCCCCAGCATGTCAACTTTACAGTGTCAGTACTAAAAATAGCCCACGTTGGCATGATGAGCTAACAGGCATGCCAGCTGGAGCTTTTTAAACAAGAAAGGAGATAAATGTGCCCTTCATGGAAAGTGATGGTTGCTCTGTTCGGGCAACCAGCCAGAAAGCATCAATAGCCCACTGGCACTTTTCCCATTAGCGGTAAATGAATCGTGCACATCGAAGCAGGAAAACACAATGTTCGCACTGTGCCAACAGAGCAGCACATGTGTGGTGAACACAAGTAGGCTGGAACAAAGTTTGAGTCCAGTGGCACCTTTAAGACCAACAAAGTTTAATTCTGGGTATAAGCCTTCATGTGCATGCACACTTCATCAGTAGGCTGGATCATTCTCCCTCCTCACTCAGTGATGTTGAGACCTGTGGGCATGGACTGCTTTGAGTTAAAAGCCTCCTTGTTTTTTTCTGAGAGTCACTGATCAGCAAAAGCCCACGTGGGGGAACTTAGCCTTCTTTTGGTGTGAACAGCTTGTGAGAGGAGGGGAACTGGCTTGCTGGATACCACAGTGAGGTAAGCAAAGACCTGGGACATTTTGACACATCAGATGTGGCTGCTAGAAGGGGTAGAACATGTGAGTACTCCAGGAGGTGCCTCTGTTGCCTACCCTCTGTGAAATTTAGCTGAATTAGCTGGGTACTACTTGCACATTTTCATTCTCCAAGGAGCAGGCATGCACCAGTCTCCATTTCTACATTTTATCTTCACAACAGGTCTGTGCGGTAGCTCACGCTGAGAGTTTGATTGGCCCAAAGTTACCCAGCAAGCTTCACAGCAGAGTGGGTCTCATCACTCTAACCACTACACCACTACTGTTCTTCTGGCCACTGTGTGACACAGAGTGTTGGACTGGATGGGCCTTTGGCCTGATCCAACATTGGCGTCTCTTATGTTCTTATTGGCTCTCTAGAGTAGTCCCTGAAATTTGGCATGCCTAGAAACTAAAAGTCCTAGAGTGCAATCCTTAGTGGAGTTACACCCTTCTAAGTCCATTTAAGTCAATAGACTCAGAATGTGGTAACTCTGTTTTAGGATTGTACTGTAAAACGTGCAAGTTTTTTAAAAAAAGAGTTCAGTATGCAGTTACTCCAGTCTAAGGCCACTGAATGGATAAAGAATAAGTTGCTCTACATAGAAACAAATGAATTTATTTATTAAGAGAGCCAGTTTGGTGTAGTGGTTAAGTGCACGGACTCTAATCTGGGAGAACCGGGTTTGATTCCCCACTCCTCCACTTGCACCTGGCTGGATGACCTTGGGCAAGCAGTAGTTCTGATAAGAGCTGTCCTTGAAAAAGAGCAGTTTCTGACAAGAGCTCTCTCAGCCCCACCTACCTCACAGGGTGTCTGTTGTGGGGAGGGGAAGGGAAAGGAGTTTGTAAGCCGCTCTGAGACTCCCTTGGGTAGTGAAGGGCGGGGTATAAATCCAATCTCTTCTTCTTCTTCTTCTAAATTTTATTTGTAAAACCACCCTTCCCTATGAGACAGGGCTCAGGGTGGTACACATCAGTATAAAAACATATACATATATGTAGTAAAATAATATTTAGATCCATACTATGATACAACAAAAGATAACCTATGTCCAGTAGGACGGCGATGGAACTGCTTAAAAAAATATGCCACCACCTCGTTGGGGTGCGGGGGGGAGGCAGGAGAATCAGGAGTGCCAACCTGTTGCTGTCCTCAACCAAACATCGGGCGGAACTACGCTGCCTTGCATGCCCAGTGGAACTGCATCAAGCTGAATTAATAAATAATAAATAAGTCCTGCAGGGCACAGATGTTATTGGGCAGAGAGTTCCACCAGGTTGGGGCCAGGGCTGAGAACGTACTGGCCCTGGTCCAGGACAGCTGAATATATCTCAGGCCAGGGACCACCAGCAGGTTCTTATCAGCCCAGCATAATGCTCTTTTGGGGGAGGGGGGGGTATACCAGGACAGGTGGTCCTGAAGATGCATGAGTGGGGTCAGACTAAAGCAACTCTGTACAGGAATGCACTGGGAGTAATAATAATTGTAACATGCAAAAGAACAAAGTTTGAGTCCAGTGGCACCTTTAAGACCAACAAAGTTTAATTCTGGGTATAAGCTTTCGTGTGCATGCAAGCGCTCTAACCTGCTGACTGCTAATCTGATCAAGAACGTCTCCAACAGTTCTCACTTATACCCCGAATTAAACCTTGTTGGTCTTGGAGGTGCCACTGGACTCAAACTTAGTTCTCACATCTGTTTACCTCTTTTATTTGTATGCTAATCTGCTGCCATTCACAGGTCTTACCAACTGCTTTAATCCAATCTCAGCTATACTTATTGCCCAGTTACTTATGCATCTTGACTCTAACTAGCCCTTCCTGGCAACTAAACCCCATATGAAAGGCTTGAGGAACACTTTTTCAATGTATCTGATGAAGTGTGCATGCACACAAAAGCTTATACCCAGAATTAAACTTTTCTGGTCTTAAAAGTGCCACTGGACACAGACTTTGTTCTGTTGCTTCAGACCAACACGACTACCCACCTGAATATGTAACATGCAAAGTTACCCCAGCCGAAGCCCCTTGAAACCCATGGTTTCCTTGTTATGCTTAATACCGAAATAAACTACATCGATCGAGGGTGGCAGCCCCTTTTCCTTCATCTGGCACGAGGGTTGCCAACTGGCCACTGCGGTGCTTGGAAAGCAGGCTACTCTGTAGAAAGCTTTACCTGCCGATCCAACAGCTGTTATGAACGCAGGCGTGGAAGCCAGGTCTTTTTAAAAATTTATTAAAGAAGTCAGTAGCTCCAGACAAGAGGGCCAAGGAAGGGCACTCTGCATATGTTCAAAAATGCTACAAACAGCTTCCGGGGCTGTTGTTTGCAGCTCAACCTACGCCCCCATTTTACGGCTTCCCCACGTATGTGGTGGTCCGACTGGATCAGCGGTGCAAGCGAGAAACGCCGCGGAGCACACCCGTCAGGGGCGCGCGGCGGAAGGTTGTCATGGTTTCCCCGGTCACATGCGCGCGAAGTTCCTCCCGCCTTCCCCCAGCGCTGGGGGCGGGAGACGCGGCTGCTGCAACCACCGTCGGGACTGGCTCCTTGTCGGCTGCTGCGCGGAGCACTGGCGAGCGCCATCGGCCCTGCTCTGCGCTCGGTGCCGAGGCGCGCCGGCGGGAGGAGCAGGAGGCTGGGGAGGGCCGCTGCCGGGCCGCCCGCCTCCGCCCGTCGAGCGCCGGTATGAGCATCTCCATCCCGGAGGGGCTGACGGAGCTGCTGCAGGGCTTCACCGTGGAGGTGTTGCGGAGCCAGCCGGGGGACCTGCTGGAATTCGCCCTCCAGTACTTCGGGCGCCTCAAGGCGGCGGCGGAAAAAAGCGCCGCCGCCGAGCAGGAGGCGGCGGCGGCAAGTGGTCGCCGCCGCCTGAATGCAGCCTCGCCTGGCCCGGCCCGGGGGAGCCTCTTGCAGCTCCGCAGGGCCGCCTCCGAGTGCCGAGGGGTCAGCTTCGTCGAGGAGTCTATGCAGTCGGATTCGGAGAGCGGTGAAGGGGAGGACGACGAGGACGAGTTCACCGGTAAGGCCGCCGGCCGCCGCCCCCTCACCCCATTGCAGGCTGGGCTGCCGCTCTCAGACACGCCCCTCTCCTCCAGCCGCTTCGCTCTGGCTGGCCTCCTGCCCCTCGCGGGGAAGCCCTTTGCCCTGAAATGCTCTCGAGGGCGGATCCGCGCAATGCAAGAAGCAGAGGGGACGTCTTGAGACTGCGGAATCAGATCCCCATCAGTAGAAGAAAAATTCAGTTCCCTTAAAAAGTGGAAAAAGCAAAGCCGGGTTGTTTCCTTTTCCTAAGGTGGAGAATATGTTTGGGGGAAAGGTGTGGCAGAGTGGGGGCACCACACTAAAAACCCTGCCCCCTTGTCGTCACGTGCAGAACTTCCAAAGGCAGCAGGAGTGATGAGCTTAGCAGGTGGGCTGGTTGGTGGTGATCCCTCTACCCAGGCAGTTTAGGCCTTTGTAGATCAGTGTTCCCTCTAAGCTGAGTTAGTGCGAGGTAGCTCAGTTTTTTAGCCTCCAGCTCACACATTTCTGTCTTAGCTCAGGAAGGATGGCTCCAGAGCAAACTAATTTACACAGTAGCTAAATCGCTCACTCACAACTTTAATGCCAGTAGCTCACCAAGTAGAATTTTTGCTCACAAGACTCCACAGCTTAGAGGAAACATTGTTGTAGATCAAAATCCATGTGAAGCTGCACCCCACTTCACCAGCAGGGCAACAAGCAGGAGAGGAAATGAGCAGGTGAACTTTTCCCCTGGAAAATTTCATTTGCAGTTTTCTGTAGCTCATAAAGGCTCCAGGACCATGCCTTAAGGTACTGAGGTATTAAGATTAGGATGTTTGATCTGCAGATGCTGTTAGATACCTGTTTCCATGCCTTGACAAGAATGGTCAGTTGGTGACCCTTAGCATAAGCATTTGGATGTATTGAATTAATATGTGGCATACTAATATCCCAACTTCTGAAAAAGTTTTCCTTGCCAATCAAACTTGTTAACAAAAGGTTTTGCATTATATTGATGAACAATTGTTCAGTTGCCAAGATCCAGATAACATTTTTTCAGGAGCTGTTTTGCTCAGTGACTATGAATTGACCATCTCTGTTATGGTAGGTGAGCGTAGCATCAGTGGGGGTCATCCCTCTACCCAGGCAGTTTAGACCTTTGGCCAGTGGTGTTTGGAGAGGCATACTTAAACAGACTATTTAGGAGTATTAGAAAAGAAAAAGAGTCCAGTAGCACCTTAAAGACTAAGAAAGTGTGTGTTAGGGTATGAGCTTTTGTGAGTCACTGCTCACTTCTTCAGATACAGCTAGAATGTGAGTCCATCTGTCCTATATATTGGAAAGTGGAGTGATTTCAGATGCCAAATGATATTAGCATCCAATAGAAGATGTGATTGGATTAGGTGTGATATGAAGAGAGGTAGTAGTCATGGAGAAATCAGCATTGGTAATGAGACAGGAAACCTAGGTCTCAATTAAGTCCAGGTGGATGCATTTCCTTGAGCTTTGTTATCAGTTGCAATTCAGCAGTCTCTCTAATTTTCCTTTGAAAGTCCTTTGTAAAATAACTGCTACTTTTAGGTCAGCAACTGAATGTCCTGGAAGGTTAAAATGTCCCCCCACTGGTTTTTGAATGTTGTGGTTTCTGATGTCAGACTTATATCCATTTATTCTTTGTTGTAAGGACTTGCCTGTTTGTCCAATGTAGGGGGTGGAGCGCATTGCTGATACATGATGGCATAAATCACATTAGAGGATGAGCAGGAGTAGGGACCTGAGATGGTATGGCTGATGTTGCTGAGTCCAGTGATGGTGTTGCTAGGATCTATATGAAAGCAAGGTTGGCCTTATGGTTTGTTGAAGGCCTTGGTACCAGAGTCCATTTATTGTTAAGTAGTATATCATTGCAGGTGAGAAATTATTTTAGGTTAGCAGGCTGTCTGTAAGCAAGAAAAGGTTGGCCTCCCAGTGCCTGTGTGAGGGAACTGGCAGTATCCAGCATGGGTTGTTGGTCATTAATGCCTCATATTCCCTAAGAAAGAGTCCATATGGAAGGCTCCCGCCAGAAGATGTCCTTTTGAGCTGGAGAAGTATCAAGGATTCGCTTGTTCCTTGCCCTCCCTGTGCTCTTGGTATAAAGTGAGTCTATTGTGGGACTCACTCTTTCTCTTGGAGTCTTGTGTCACTCCCCCCCCCCCCCCCCCCACAGCATTCAGGTAAATTAGTTGTGCTACAGGAAAAGGCCTAGTTACCCAAAATGGCCTCAGATTTTGGATGGAGGTTGAGATGCCTTTATATTTTCATCAATCTGGAGAGGGAGAAAGGGATTGACTCCACAGCTTGGCATTGCACATCTGATGAATATCTTCAAAACACCTTTATTCAACAATTAGCAATCACAGTCAGCAATACCACACCTTAGCATACCATCTGGAAGGAGCAATGCGCATCTTCCTGTCCTGGAAAGGTCCTGTCTACACAAGGCCAACACATTCAATGACACTAATTTTTGGTGCGAGGAGCTTGAAGGAGAAAGACTCCCGAATAAGCAACATTCCCCCCCCCCCGCCATCCAGGACTGCTGTAAGACCAAGAAACCGCGGGGGGGGGGGGAGTTGATTCAGGACAACAGTCTCACCCTCCCTCACCCAGGTCTCGGTCACACATGCCAGGTCTACATGTTTGTCTATCAGGTAATCCTGGAGAACAGAGATCTGATTAATGGACCTGGCATTATACAACACCAGTGTCGGAGAAGGGTATACTTTCCTAGCCCCACAACCAGCATCCCTTGGGATGGGACAAAGGCAGGAAGGGGACTGAGCATTACCGTATCTCCATCTCCTTCCCATAAACTGCCTTGTCCCACTATCGTACTTCCCCTGACCCTCTATCACTGGAATCCCTGACCTGGACATAGCGTCCCCTGTGAGATGTTATTGGCATTGATGGATGGGACATTCAATAAACAATGCAATAGGATTAGGGTTGTAAAACCAACCAGAAGTCTAAAAACAGAACTGAAGCAAAGCATAAGTATTAATATGATACATTAAATGATGCAAAATTCCATAGTGGGATCTTAGTTTCAACAAGCTGTACACAGTAGTATAGACCACAGTCCTTAATAAATTTTCGAAGTGACTTTGTGAATCATTTAGTACAGTGCATAGAAAAGCGCTCTTGAATAATTAAGTTTTGCATAGTTTGTGGAAAGCCAGGCGAGTGGGAGCCTGACTGACCTTCTCGGGAAGGCCATTCCACAAGGTGGGGGCCCCAGTGGAGAATGCACATGTGGGCAGTTGTTGACTTTACTCATTTGGAGGTTGGCACCTGATGAAGGCCTTGTTCGGAGCATAGGGGAGTGGTGGAATCGCATATATCAGGTTCCAAGGCCATGGAGGGCTTTGTATGTGATAGCTAATACCTTAAATTGAGCCCAGTAACTAATGGGCAATCACTGAAGTGCCTTCAGGACGAGAGTAATATGCTTGCTCCATCTAGTTCTAGATAATAGCCGATCTGCACCAACTAAAGTTTCCAAATTGATTTTGAGGGGTGACCAATGTACAGTGCATTGCAGTATAGCTTCGATCTTACTGCAGCATGGATCCAGGTGGCCAGATCAGCTGTATCAAGGTAAGGGACCATCTTTTAGGCTAGGCTGAGTTGAAAGAAAGCCTTTTTAGCAACTGCATAAACTGGCTTAGTGTATAGGCAAAATTGATACTGATGAAGTGAAACATGTTGCCATCTTAGGATAAATGATCACAACAGTCCACAGAACTGACCAACTTAGATTCCAGTTGTGCTTTAACTTTTTGGATGTGGGTACAGCAAAACCTTGTGCCTTGGGTGTCGAAATAAAGCTTCTCAATTGCAAGTTGCTCACATGTATTTAAATAGCTAGGTTTCCCACCCTCAGTGGAAGCAGGATCTCTCTTCCCCCTTCCCAATAAATATGAAAGCAGGAGCTTGTTGTGTTTTCCTCCAATCAATATGAAATTAACAGATTGACCCTTTCTTGATCAATGTTTCCCTTTTTTTCTGAGGGGGAGTGATGATGTGTATGTGGAAAGAATTAGCTATCTTGGTGGGGAAGGTGGGAGTGGAAGGGCTTCTGGGTGAGAAATCTGTCCCTGTTACAAAAGTGTATGTTATAAAAGATTGATTCTAGGGGTGTTAAACAGATGGGATATAAAACATTTATGGTCCTTTAAAGATGAGAGAAGTTTAGGTCACAGAAATCTAAAAATGCATGGGCCAGAATATAAATTCCTTTTAGGTTAACTTTAAATGGCAAATAAAAGTTAGAGTTATCTCCAGCTCCACTTGCCTGATTTCCCCATCCACCCACCCAGTCTCTTCTGGGATGTTTTCCTCCTGGAGGGCTTTATGACATAGGCATTTGTTAACAGCATTTCTGCTGAAAGATGGCATACATAGCAGTGTACAAAACGCATCTGTTCTGGAGGAATGTGGTTTAGAGGCACACATTTCTTGTTTCCCAAACACTAAGTCTTAACTCTGCAGAACCAATAGGATAGGTCTGTAATCCTGTTATGGTTAGAAAGGAGAGTTTCCTTTAGTCAGTTTCCATTCCCCACAGGATAGTAAGGCAAGTAGCTGATCTCAAACCTGAGTTAAATTGTGCCTTCAATGTGTTTGTAACAAAATGTGCAAAATACCACATGTCTTCTTGACAGTTATGTTGTTTGGTAAGAGAGTCAACCCTAATGATTTTTTCAGCTAATAGTTCTGTGGAGTGTCCAATCACTGAAAATGTATAGGTTTTGATTGGATAATACTGATGCGTGCAGCAGCTTGGAACTTTCCTGAAGCCAGTTATATCGTTTATGATTATTTGGGGAGGGGGGAGAATCCTGAAAGTAGAGGGATGCTTGCAAGCTGTGTGTGAGAGATAATGGGATTGGATTAAAATATCTTCATTCTTTGATCCTGAACATTATGACTGTCAAACTTGGGACTTGCTGTACTGTTAAGAAGGCAGTGAAT